ATGAGTAGTTGGTGGTCTGTTCCACAGTCAGCTCCTGGCCCAGTTTTCACAGCTGATACTGAGCTGCTCCAGTGGTTCTTTCCACAGATGTAATCGATCTGATTCCTATGCATACCATCAGGTTAAATCCAGATATATAACCTGCGTTTATGTCTCTTAAAAAAATTATGAATAAGTCGTTGATTGTGCAAAATTCGATCATTCTCTCTCCCGCTCCATTGATACAACCTGTCATTGGAGTATTTTCACATTTGTTTAAAAGTAATAGTCTCGAATAACCTTTTGTTGACTTAACTTTTAGGAACGATCATCCTATTTGGAGTATCAAAAAGTAATGAGAGAAATAGAACATTTGAGTCGTCTGTACATTGCTTATCAGTTTTTGCTCGCTGAAGATACCAAGGAACGTTCCGCTGAGGAGTTAAAAGAAATGCAGGATAAAGTTGTAAAGCTTCAAGAAGCATTGTCTGAGAATGATAAAAAAATAAATGAACTTAGTCATGAAATAGAAGAATTAGAAAAAAGAAAAGATAAGGTAGGAACCTTTGAACAAGACAGAGTGTACTTTTGTTTGAAAAAACATTAAACTGTATAGTATTATGTATGGTAACTATTCAGAATCCACTTTTTATTGTCTTTCTGATTGGCTTGTTAACTTTAAAGTAGGATAATTTAATTGTTTTTAATAGGGCAATATTTCACACGAATTTACACAAGAAAATAACAAATTTTAAGTAATGTGATTAAGATGGGTACATCTGATTACAGGAAATTGGAGGTATTCTCCGCTCGTTAGAAGACACTCTTGCAGAGGCTCAGCGAGTTAATACCAAATCGCAAAGTGCTTTTGATCTCAAGAAGAAAAATCTGACAAGTGAAGTGAACAAACGCAAAGAGCTGGAAAAAAATATGGTGGAGGTAAGCAAATAAGTAATTAATTATTAGTAGTATATTGGTAAGCAATTGTGCTGCCACTGCAGAGGTACATAGTTTAAATCCACCAGCTGCTCCACTAGAGAAAGATGGGCAGTCTCCTCCCTTGCGCTTTACTGCCTTTGAAGACTCTGGAGAGTCAGCAATGGGTCGGTTCTGACTCGATGGTAAGTTATGAAGTATACAGTTATCCTAAGAATTGGTATTTACTTATTAAGTGTCAAATATACGCTGTACACAACTGTTTGGGCTGTGGACACAGAAGTGGACAGAAGGCCGTGCATTGTGTTACATGGAGAAATGAACACTGAAAGATGAGTACTAGGAATAAAAAGAAGTAGCCATGCAGGGTCATGTAAGGCTTTGAAAGACTAATGAAGAATTTAATCTTGGATGATTCTGGGTTACTTAATGTAACATTTTTTAAGGATAGGATAGAGCCAGTAAGATAAGTTAACAGGTTGGTAGTTGAGGATGAGAAAAAGAAATAAGTAAAAAATAGCATCAAGAAAATTGTCTTTTATATTTAAGATAGAGTTATTATTAGCTAAGGTGGAACAGAAGGGTTGTGAGGGACAGGAATCGGAAGTACAGTGTGACCATAATAGGCCTGAGTGTGGATTAAGGAATTGATGATGTGAATACCCAATCCAGAGGAGAAGTGTAAATCTTTGAGTCTTTAGTTTATATCCATGCTTATCCATGAGCATATGGTGGTGGGAGTGAATATAAAATCACAGTAACTTCAGTGTTCACACACACAGTTCAAGGCTATGACAGTGAGATGCCGAGTGTAGTTTCTAGGGAAGGAGATGAGCGATGCCACTTGCTGTTCCAGATGTGCACCACTGCTTTAATGACTCCCTTAAAAACCAACACTAGGCACCAGTTTTACTTTTTTATAAAAATGAAAATCCTGAGTTTCTTGAAGTTACAGAAATTTGGAACTAATGGAAGTCTTTCATTAAAAATGTATTTTGGAAAAGTGAGAGAAATCTTTTGAAATAATAGTCAAAAAGGCAAAAGTACATAGGGAGCTAACTGAAAGATCATATAGAACTAAGGGTTTTTTGGTTTGTTTTAAAGATGATTTAAATTGTAGAATGATTGGCGGAAAAGACGGTATTTTATGGTTCAAGAGCAAGACGAGAGAATTGCTAGAATTAGGTCATAGAGAATTTAGTGCAGGATTTGCAGGATTAACATTTGTTGTAGGCTAAGCCATTTGAGTAACTCCTGTACAGTGTGGTCTTTTGCAGGCAGATATGTGACAAGAACTTGTGGGACTTTTCTTCAGTGTGATTGTATTTTCTCAATGAAAATACACATTTTGCTTTTCATTGGAAAAGTAAATAACATCATGAAAATAAAGCATTTCTTTATACTGTCCCTTTTAATATTTCCTCTCAGAATTATAATTGCCAACTTAGAAACAGCTTTACGACTCTTGACAAAGTATAAAAGTGATATGGGTATGATAGCATGCTGCGAAACTATTTCCTCAAACGTATCTGCTTTTCTAAAGCTCTAAACTGCGTAGACCTTTGATTCTTGTTTATTTTTTCTTACTCATGCTGGCTCTGTTAAGTTTCACAGGATAGCACTTGAAGTCACCTTTTCTATATTTCATGACTCCTAATGTTTATATTTCAACTCCAGGTTTTTACTTATTTCTGTATTAGTCTCTTCTAGCCACATAGCTCTCTCGTATTGGGAGGTCCCTAAGACCACTTCCCATTTTACTGACTCATGAAGAGGGGTCAAATATAGTCATACTTACTCGTTATTTCAGCAAAAGCCTGCCAAGTACACTCAGAGACAGGAAAGGGGACATGGGTGAATGTTTGGCAAGCTTTCATGAGCTTTCTCCCAGAATCACACACAAACCAAAACCAAACTCATGCCTCCTGGTTGATTCTGACTGCTAGTGACCCTCATTGGGTCTGCGAGGCTGTAAGTCTTTACAGGAGAGTGTTCCTCTTTCTCCCTTGGAGCAGCTACAGTGTCCATACTGCTGACCTTTACATTATGCACTGTACCACCAGGGCTCTTGGAGTCACACAAGGTCTACTTACTCAAATTTCCCAGCAGTCATTTATACCAAAAGGTGTGAGATGTCAGCCAGGGAAGCTTGGTACCTAGCTTTTTATTGGACTGGTTGTTTAGGCTCTCCTTGCTTTGCACATGCCTGAATGCTGAACTCCCAGAAAGAAAGCGAGTATTTAGCACAAACATTTATGTAAGCAGTTTAGTCACAGTCAGCCACCCTTACTAGACAGAGAAATGGTGAGAACCCTCCTAATATTTCAGTTTCCACATTACACCAAGGATCAGCTTTGTGAGCAGGCTTTTCAAGGGATATCAGCCAGGCCCGTTAAGTGATGATGATAGGGTGATGTCTTTCAGGTGTATAACTAGCTTTGATTCCTTCCCTGAACTGTAGACTCATTTGTCTAGGTGTATAACAGTTTTACTGTAAAGACTAACAAAAAGTCTAAACTTAACAAAAAAGTACTCTTCACGTTTTCTAACCTTAACCTACTTCTCTCCCTGAGTTCTAGTTTTTCTCATCTCACTATTTATCTAATTGATTATAGATCAGAAATTCTAAACTCTTTCCCCAATTCTCAGTTTTTCTCAAATCCCATATCCATCCCATCTGCCAGTTCTATTCATTTTTATTTTATAGCAAACATGTATGGTCGTGGTAAAATTCTTTTCATTTATTACACACCTTTTTGTCTTGTCTGCCTGCTTTGTGTTCACTTGTAGAATGATGATCAGTATTACTGATATTGTAAGATAATGTATGTAATAACATTTACCATTATTATCTGTAATTTATTTATGATTTGAATCTTACATTCAAATACAACCACTTTTTATCACTTCTACCACTGCCTTTCTGGCCAGTCGACTATATATATAGCTTAGTATCCATTGATCACCTTGCTTTTGCTCTTGCCATTCTTTAGCTTTTTTTCTATATAGAATGTAAAGCATAATACACATATTACATATATATAATAAAGTCCAACAGTTTCCCATATGAAGAAGCTCTTGTGGTCTAGTGGCAGGAGAAAGATGGGCAGTCTCCTCCTGTGATTTACTGCCTCTGAAAATCCTCTGAAGGGTCAGCTCTGAATTGGTTCCAACTTGATGGCACATAACAACGATTTCTATGTGATATGACTTACTTTGATTCCCACTTACTACATTCTAACTGTTGTGAGCTAACTGTGCTTTATACCACCTTCCTGAAACAACCAAACATGTTCCTTAGTTTCTGCCACCTATCTGTCCCTCAAGATACAGCCATGCCTTCACATCAGTTAGGCCTTTGTCCAAGTGTTAGTTTACAAAAGTGAAATAACTATGTTTGAGAAAAAATTTCTTTTACTTTCTGTTTTTCTTAGGTTTTTAATATATATCTTTAACCTTAGAAAACAGTCAAGGACATAGTTTCGTCTGTATCATTATTGTGTAGAAGAATACCTGATACCCAGGATACACCCAATAAATATTTGATGACTTGTGAATCAAGCAAGTGAACCAAAATTTCTGGCTCTTCCCAGGCAATCATTAATTTTTCCATGTACTGCATATTGTCAGATATTTACCTAATATTACTAAAAAGATGTTAAATACCACAATTATGTAATACTTGATTATTTTTTCCTTTCAAGTTAAATGTTTTTGTAACTAACATTTCCACTTTAAAAATTGGTTTAAGATCCCTATTCAAATTTTTTTAAGCTTAATAACTGTTACTTACTTTTGTCAAGAGGTTTATTTAACTATGTATTCTAATTTTTAGCCTAGTTTCTCTTCCAGATTCAACTATTGTATATGAAGTGAAGCTATTTGTGATAAGTGCCACATTTAACCCAGAAACAGAGACTGAAGTTCATAATGCAAATCTCATAATTAAAGTCATGATAATGGCATTTTCTTCTTATGCTCGTGTCAAATGACCGTGAAATTTGATGAACTAGGGATGTGTTTGTGTAAGAAAATGTATTATGTACTAATAAATAATATTTTTCTATTTGAACCTTTTTCTGCAGGACTCTAAAACTTTATCAGCAAAAGAAAAAGAGGTTAAGAAGATAACTGATGGCCTGAGTGCCCTTCAAGAAGCAAGTACTAAGGATGCAGAAGCCTTGGCCGCTGCACAGCAGCACTTCAACGCTGTGTCTGCTGGCCTCTCCAGTAATGAAGATGGAGCCGAAGCAACCCTTGCTGGTCAGATGATGACCTGTAAAAATGACATAAGTAAAGCTCAGACAGAAGCCAAACAGGTAAAGACAAGGATTAAGCTTTAGGTGATTGCGTTTATATTCAGAAAATGCATCTTCATATCATTTGTTGGCAGTTGTTTTTCACTAGTTCTTAAAAGAACTGTTTGTAGTTGAGGATCTTGTTTGTTCATTCTTTTTTCAAAAACAAATGAACAACACTTTTTCATTACAGCTGTCTCTCTGGCAGTTAGAATCCACCAGTAGATCCAGGGGAGAAAGATGGGCAGTCTCCTCTCGTGCAATTTACAGCTTCAGAAATCTGCTCAACAGTGAGCTCTGGTTTGGTTCTGACTGGACAGCTTAGAGCGTCTAAAACAGCAGAATTCCCATTTGTCAGTTGCACATCATGTTGATGGTGTAACTTTGCAAAGATACATAAAACCTGCCTCCCATGAATTAATGTAATTTTTCAGTTTGTTTTTAATGATTTTTATGAAGAAAACTTTTGTTCTGTGATTTTATTTTCTTCTTTTTTACTTTATGTTTGCTTTGTATGTCACAAAACTCAAGTATTTGGCCCTTAATAGGAAAGAAAATGTTCTCTTCATTTTTGTTTCTGTATTACTTAGTTTTAAAATCTTATTATTTTTTTTTAAATCTTATTTTTTAAACTTTTCACATCTTCCCAAGAGGAGTTACTTTTTACTTTCACTCAAGCTCTAATTTTGTATTTTCCTTTTCCATCATTTTTTGGTATCTTCTTTATTATGGCAGTTATCAAATTACTTTAGGTAATAATACAAATCCTGTGAACAAAAGAGTTATTATCCACCAGATGCTCTGCTGGAGAAGGAGGGGCAGTCTCCTTCTGTACCAGTCAGATCCAATTTGATGGTACACACACACAAAAATAATAAAATAAGATTTAAAAAAAATTTCAAAAAGGAAATTTAAAGATACATATGTGGATAGACGGTTGTTGGTTATGTAATGTTATGTGGGTGACATAAAGGGTGTTTCAGCTCAAATTTTTTCCTTAATTTCTGCTTAAATCTACTTTTGCAGCTGTTTTGACCCATCCATCTTTTTGAGACATTTTCTCTTTTTCCTAACCCTCCTGATAGCATGCCCTTTTGCCTCTTTTGGGACATCCTGGATGGACTTCTTCGAAGCTTGATTTCTTTTGACAGCCCATAGTATATGCCATCTTCTTCGCGAACAATTTAAAAACATTCTTTCTTTGATTTTCCTTATTTATTGTCCAACTTTAACATGTATGCACATAAAATTTTTTCCTTTTTAATAATGACTCAATTTTAATACTACAGGCTTGTAAATTTACTTGTGTATTTGTTTACTAATCCTATTTAAGTGTTCTTCTGTTAATGTATTTGCTGTTTTTTTCTACTGAGAAGAAATAATCACCAAAAATGAGAAGAAATCATAGAAAATTGTTAAAATTTCATTCTGTTATGTTTAATGAGACCTGAGAAAATGACTATTGGAAAGTTTTTGCGGGAAGATATGTATGTAGGTCTTGTAGTGCTAGTTCATAATTTTAAAGAGAAACAGCGCTCAGTTATATATATATTTTGGACTCCTGAAGTTTCTTGAATCTTACTAGAATTTATATTTTAAATTCTTAACATTGATAAGAATGGGATTAAATATAGAGCTATATATATTTGGGTTGTATTTTGAGAATATCCTGAGACATGTGGTAGATCAGTTTAAATTCAAATCAAGGTCATATAGTTTATATTCAAGGCAATGTTTCTCTTACTTCAATCAGCCTGAATCTGTGGTCCGAGTACTATATGCCTTACAGTTTGCTTTATTTTTGTTTTACAGGCTCAGATGAAGTTGAAACATGCTCAACAAGAATTAAAGGCCAAACAGGCTGAAGTTAAAAAGATGGACAGTGGCTACAGGAAAGATCAAGAAGCTCTAGAAGCTGTGAAGAAACTTAAAGAAAAACTTGAAGATGAAATGAAAAAGCTGAATTATGAAGGTTTGCCTTTAAAGATATATTACCAAACATTTGGAAATGATGATTCTTGTTAGACATTAACGAGTAGAGGGAGGGAAAACCCTGTTAATAAATAATAGTATAAATAGTGTAATGGAGTTGAGGAAGACTCAGTGAGGTGCGTTGACCCAAGGACGGCAGCAGAAGGCTTGAACATCAGATTGTAAGGATGGCGCGGGATAGGGCAAGGTTTCGCTCTGTTCTTCATAATGTGCTGTGTGTCATAATTGTTGCGGTGGCACCTGACAGCAACAATATTGACGACAGTTACAAATAATTTGTTTTACAATTGCACTTTGGATTTTTTTGATAGCTATATTTATCCTGAGAATTATAATGGCTCTGAAGTGCTACTTAAAAACTCAAAAGCTTCATGTACACTTTTTACTCTAGGCAATCATTTCTTGACTATAAATTGTGTTATTTGTTGGAAATAATACCTTCTATGTATATGAAAGAAACTGCAAATGTTAAACATTTTTAATATTTAACTGGATTTACTTAACTATATTTGTTCCAAGGAGTGACCTGAAAATAGTTTATTGTTTTCCTTAAAACAGAATGTTGGGTTCAAAAAACTTGCTCTCTGTTTTATTTCTTTAGAAAACAAGGAAGAAAGCCTTCTGGAAAAGCGTAGACAGTTGTTTCGAGATATCAGTAGATTGAAAGAAACATATGAAGCTCTCTTGGCCAGATTTCCTAATCTTCGCTTTGCATACAAGTAAGAGATTTTTTTAATAAAGAACATTCCATTGTTTTTTAATTTAATGTTTAGGTTCTCACTTGACAATTTCTATACAAGTTCAGTGGCGTTGATTACATTCTTCACAGTATATGAATGCACTCATTATTTCTGTACCAGTTGCTTCATTAGTTAAGAGATTTGAACTTCGGGTGTTTTTTAAATAAAATTTTAATTTTATACTGATTTACTTACAAAGTTTGTATACATTGTTTTTCACACTGGATCTTTTGCATTTCCGTTAGAACCAAAGTATGTTTGTTTGTTTAATTTGGAGTCCCTGGGTGGATAAACAATATAGTAAAGTTCTAACTGAAAGGTGAGGGAGAGGTCGTCACCCAGAGGCTTTTAGAAGAAAAGCCTTCCAGCTGTGTCTGAAAAAAATCAGCCATTGAAAAAACAGAATGTGATTGTACTTCAGCACAAATGTGACCTTAAGTCCTCATAACTCAGTGAGGCTGGTGTTAGTTTTTTTCTTTATTTCAGCTAGAAAATGATCATGAGAAATATTGAACATGTCATGGATTACCAAAAGAACAAACAGATCTGTCTTGGAAGATAACAGCCATAATGCTTGTTGGAAGCAAAAGTGGCAAGCTTAGCCTCACATACTTTAAGCATGTTACAAAGTTGGGGGTAAGACATTCCCTGGAGCAGGACTTTATGCTTGGTAAAAAGAAGAAAATCCTCAGAAAAAGGATAACTACAGCAGTGGGCTGAAAGATGACAAGTCCTGAGGATGGAACAGGACTGGGTTGGGTTTCATCTGTTGTCCATTTGTTGTCGTAAGAGTTGCTGAGAGTCTGAGCCAGTTCAGTGGCACCTAATGGCAGTGATAAAAAGTGACCTGAAATATTGTCCAACACCACTTTTTTTTTCCTTTTTTTAAATTTAATGATGAACTCTTTTCATTGCATTAACAGACCATCACAATTAATACGGTTTTTTCTGTTCCTACATCCCATTTTTATGTCTCAGCCGAAAGGGGTGTTTTGTTTTGTTTTTTTATCCTTCAGTAAAATACCTTTTCTCTTTGAAGTACATTTCTAAATTGACTTCATGTTTAGATATTATTACATTCTGAAGAAAGATAATCTGAACATTTATTTGTAGCTAGCAAAAGAAAGTAATTTACACATTCATCATATTACTGGTCTGTGGGCTTTTTAAAACTTTTGCTTTTTTAAAAATTTATTATTAATTTCAGTTAAAATTTACAAAGACTTTGGATTTCCATTCATTCATTGTTGCACTTTTTTCCCCTCCCAACCCTCCCCCACAATACACTACCCTCTTAGAAAAGTAAAAAAAAAAATTCTTTCATTGTTTTATAATCCCTCCCCGCAGGTCCACTCCACTCTGCAGCCTATCTCTTTAAACAGTTTTCTCCATCATCTGTTTCAATGCAGTATACCTAATTTAACCCATCTTTCTCAGTCTCCCCCCCAACCCCGATGTCAGTCCTGTTTTACAACAATGGCACCATTGCAGTATTTGTCCTTTTGTGACTGAGATACTTCACTCAGCATAATGTCCTCCAGGGTCACCCAATTTTGAATAATACTGCATGAGTTCCTTGTTTTTCAGTGCAGCGTAGTATTCCACTGTGTGAATATATCACAGCTTTTCTATCCAATCATTTTCAGCTTAGGTTGTTTCCAACTCCTTGCTATTCCAACACCACATTTTTGCATGACAGTTGTCCTTAATTGGTATTTTTTTTCTTTAAGCATTTATAAAAGTGCATCAAATGTGGGGAGTAAAAATTATTGTGAAATCTAAGAACTGATTCCTTTAGTCTTAAATAGAGACCAGCATTGGGGGAATTTAATCACAGTTCAAAGTTTCTTTAAATTTTCATTAATATTAAGTATATTTGCATTTTATAATTTGTTTTGTCTCTTGATTTTTTTTAAAATGGAATGATTACAGAATCCACATACATAATCTATACCAAAAGTTCTTTTGATTGATATACGTTGGCTGTTCTGGCCATCTGGGACATTTTTACATTCCTATATTTTTGAAACTATTAAAGCTATAATTTTGTATTCTTTAATCTAGAATTTTTATCAACTTTTGTATTTTAGGGATCCAGAGAGGAACTGGAATAGGGATTGTGTGAAAGGTCTCGTGGCTTCTCTGATTAGTGTCAAAGATACTGCTGCAACCACAGCTTTAGAATTGGTAGCTGGGGAGCGACTCTACAATGTTGTTGTAGACACAGAGGTAAATGGCTTTTAATTAAAAATGTTAAGCTGTTTTAGTAGGAAAAATTATGGGCTGGTGGAAGAATTACATTTTTTAAACTATTTTTAATAAACAATTTAACAATTTAAAAATAATTATTTAAAAAAAACTTAAAGTTTTAAGTTTTTCCTAAAGTTACTTAATTTTTCAAAAATTTTATTTTGATAACTGCATGCCTCAGGAATTCTTATTTTGACTCAGGAATCCAATATGTATATTACAAATCTTAGTACACCTGATTCATACCATGTTCTTCTTAATCACTTGTTATGTTGCCGAGAGCTAGATAGTTTTGCAGAAAACAAATTAATACCTTTGAACTGTAGGGTTAGAGAAGAGTACTGACTATCCGATGCATGTCCGAAAGAACAGACAGATAGGTCTTGGAGAAGCTGTAGCCAGATTGCTCCTTGTATGCAAAGGGGATAAAGGTCTCACAAAGTTTGAGTGTGTTGCTAGGAGAGGCTATTCACTGGAAAAGAGAGACATAAATGCTTGGGAAGGTTGGAGGGACACCAAAAGAGAAAGACCCTTGATCAAGTGGATTGATATGGTACAGCTGGGAGTCCTGTGTGTCAGAGATTGTGAAGACAGCACAGGACATGTTTGGATCTGTTGTTCATAGGATCAGTATAAGTTGTACTCCACTTGACAGCATTTAATAACATTTTGATTATTCATGGGAGAAAGCACAAACTGTTTACTGATTATGGATTTTTAAATTAGTACTATTTTATTTTTAATGTATTTTGTTTAATCCCTTTTTAAAAACTTTGTTTATAACATGTTAAATATAATGGTTCAGATTACAGGTAAAAAGCTATTAGAAAAGGGAGAATTGAAGCGTCGGTACACTATAATTCCACTCAATAAAATATCAGCCAGATGTATTGCACCAGAAACCCTGAGGGTCGCTCAGAATCTTGTAAGTCTTATTTATATATTTAATCTTTCTTTCTTATTGTTTTAAATTAGAAAAAATTAATAAGATATGTTGGGAACAGCAGTTTTAAATTATATTACCGTTTGTAAAATTGTGATTTGTATTTAGAACAGCTAGACCTCCCTTTGATACTTCAAGATTCAGTACAATATTTAAACTTTAGTCAAGTTGCATGACTGTCAGATGGAAGTAAATATAAAATTGCTCTGTTTTGAATTACTAATTAAAATGGAGCTTAGGTAGATAAGCTATGCCAGTGACAATGTTAAGTCTCTCTATAGGTTTGACTAGTTTGTCTTCTAACATAAGAGCTTTTATAGTAGGTAACATTCAACCCCTGATTTGTAGGTAAATTGCTATGCCTACCAGTAACCAGAATAGTGTAGGGAATTGGGTTTACAACATTATTATGGTACTGGATCAAAACATTTGTGAAGCTTTTATTGCATTCAGCAGAGATTTCAGTCTGGTATTGAGCAGGCAATTCAAATGCATGAGTTATAAAGGCTGTTCTACAAAACTTACATGTGCATTTTTTTTTATTGCATTTTATTAGTTTTCATGAACATTTACAGAGATTTTGGGTTTTCATTCATGCATTGTTGCACTGTTTTCTCCACCCTCATTCCCAGTTCG